GCAGGCTCCGGGCTCTGAGCTGTCAGCACAGAGCCCGACGAGGGCTCGAACCCACAAACCATGAGATCACCACCTGAGGCTAAAGTCAGATGTGTAACCGACTGAGCCTCCCCGCCCCAGAGCCCCAGCTTCTGCTCTCCTGAAGCACAGGCTGTTCGCGTCTAGGACAGTGCTTGTTCCCTTGGACAATGACCCAGGGCCGGGATTGTGACCCCCCCCCCCCCATCTTGGGCACTTCTTCTGTGTCGAAAATGTGGATGATCCATCCCGAAAACACAGTGCCCACTCCCTGCCCGAAAACAGGGTCTTTCTCAATTTGTCAGCCCTGGGAATCCCAGAGTCGCCAGCTGAGGCTCTTCTTGGGGAAGCGGTCGGTGGGCATGGGGGCACGCTTGGGTTTTCTCTCGCGTTTCACTGCAGCCTTATTCCCCCATCTTGCCCTTGGACACCCCACCTTCTAGTAGCCTTGTCCCCTCTCCCTCCCTGCCTCCTCCTGCTGGTTTCCGTTTCTGGGCAAAGGGTATGACCCAAGGTCCGCACAGGGCAGCTAGCCCCCCCCCACCCTGCTTTGCAGGTGGGTCAGAGGCCAGCCCTGCAAGTCCAGCCCTGGTGAGGAGGGTGGCAGTGTGGGTGAGCGAGTGCTGTTTGGAGAACCGGAGCCTGCGTGGGGTTAGCCGGGGCCCCGGAAGAAAAACCATGCAGATGCTGGCATTGGGTCTGTATCTTTACTACCTCCCTGAAATGAAGGAGGCAGGGGTCGGCATGGCGAATAATCAGACAGGCTTATTTACCATCCTGTGTGTAGGGTTCTGTCCCCAGGACGGGAGAGTTTCTCCCCCACCAAGCGTCAGGCTGGGATTCTCAGTGCGCTGACGGATGGACAGACTGGAGGGTGTGCTGGGTCAGACCAGGATTTGAGCTCCCAGTGTTCTGTGTTGGGGTCAGTTGGAAGGAGGCACGTACCCGGTCATGTGGACCTCTCGTTCTGAGGCCATGTTCCGCAAGTCATTTGACAGCATAGTGGCTGCTTACCGTGAGCCTGGTCCTGAACGGGGTCTGGGGTTCCCAGCGATGAGGAGTAAGCGAGGGCTCTGACCTGTGCTTCTAGTCTAGCCGGAGAGGCAGACACAGTGGGAAGACTTTCAGTGCAGACACTGAAAGGGGCAAAATGGTAACAGACGGAGGTGTGCAAGGTACAATGAATTCTACTCTTAGGCGGGAGCTGGGGCAAAAGCCCAGAAGGGGAGGTGACAGGAAGCAAGACATCAAAGGTGAGTAGCTGCTCTCCAGGGAGAGGGAGAGGTAGACACAGTGGGAAGGCATCGGGCCAGGCTACGCTGCCTTGGTTGACCCAAGGCAGGGGTGGCCTGGGGCAGGAGGCCACGTGGTAGAGCAGTGGGCCAGCCTGGACCCAGCCCTGACCGAAGGGCAGCCCTGGGGGCTCTATCAGGGTTAGCCCAGGGTCAGAACAGCTGCCAAGGTCACCACTGAAAGCCAGAGTGCTCAAGCTAGTATTTTAAAAACGCAGGTGGAGCACGCAGGCTTGCCTGTGGTTTATTCTGGTCTCTGGGCTGCTTCACAGGTTAGATGGGACTTTGGATTTGGCCTTCTGGGGGGCTGCCACCCATCAACAGGCCCTGGGGTCCCTGGGCTGCCCCAGAGCGCCAGAATGAGAGCAAACCAGCCTGCCTGAAAGAGTGTGCCATGAGAGCTCCCAGCCCACTGCCTCCAGGAATGGGCCTGGCGTGGAAGGGCCAGAGGTCATCGAGGGAGCGGCAGGAGCAGGGCTTGGCTGAGAGGCTCCAGCAAGGCCCCTGTCCCCAGGCCCCTTGTTGTCCGGCCGTCAGCAGCAGGTGCTCACAATTCTTTCTGTGCAACGGTAACATTCTCCCCCCATGTCGAGGCTCGCTTCTTTCCTTGCCCCTCCACGCAGGACAGACTTGAGGCCAAGGCCTCCGCTGGCGGTGCTGGAGTGCGCCTTTGGGCGCGGGCCCCTCTGACCTGGCTTTGACGGGTCTCCTCATTCTGTTGCCGCCTCTCTCACATACACCTGTCTGAGCCCCGCTCTGCTCGCTCAGCTCTTGCCTTGCCTGACGCTGGCCGTTATCTGCTGCCTGCAGCTGTCCCTGGGGACCCAGGCTTCCTCCACCCCCACCCCCCGCTCTCCTCCACTCCCCCCCGCCCCACTCTCCTCCACTCCCCACTTTTGGCTCCAAAGACCTTGCTCATCTCCAAGCAGGGCCTGAAATCCCTGTTCCAGAAGCCCTGATTTCTTGTTTGTTTGCAAGGCTGAGCAGACATGTCACTGGCGGAAGGCTTACTAATTGGGAGGAAGTGGGGAAGGGGGTGGCAGAGAGATGCTTTTCAGGGAGTCTGTTAAACAATAAAGCTAATAATGATGATAACTGGCAATTATTGAGTATCTACTATGTGTTTGCTACTTTGTTTGATGCTTTATTTAATACATTTATTTCCCTTGCTCCTCTCAATAACCCAAGGAAGTATATACTATTACCGTCCCCATTTAAAATGGGGGTCCAGAAAGGCCGAGAAGAGTGAGCTGTCTACCTGCTTCCTTGTGGGGAGGGCTTCTGGCCCAGGAGAGCACTCTCTACAGGCTGGCGAGTGCCTCCCTCTGCCCCTGCGGAGGCCTGCTGGGGAGGGCTCTGGACCAGGTCGGGAGGTCTTGGGTAAAAGTTGCTTCTTGACTACTTCTTGGTGTCCTGTTCTGGGTCCCTGTTGGAAGGTTGTTCTTGGGACCTGACACCCTTCCTCCGCCCCCAGTATGTCCCTGCACTATAGGGAGTGACAGCAGCAGCTCAGTTTGGCCACTGGAAGGAGAGATGGCATTTTTTCCTGTTAACACGTTCTTGACTTAGGTCCCCACCTGCTCAGTGGGTGGAAGCAGGTGTCTGTACCTCAAAAACCTTTCCCAGGGACCCTATTTCAGAGGGGTCACCCCTCTGCCCCAGTGTCCTCCCTCTGTGGCAGGAGCCGGATCCCAGGCCTGGGGCGCCTTGGCCTCTCCACACTCATGTGCCGCCAGTGGGCCAGTCCTGGCTCTTTGGCCCAAGGAGGGGGGCAGGGAGCTGCCGGGGCAGTCTGTACCCCGCAGCGTGTCTCTCTGCTGTTTCTACAGCCTGGCTTAGGGCCCCCTGGGCTGTGGTCAGAGGATTTTGCCCTTTAAAAAGATGTCTTTCTTTGAGAGGGCGAGGAGCCGATCATTGATGTGAAGAGATCCTTGTAGGACAGATGTGTTCTGGGCTTGCTCGGACAATGGATGAGCAATAGCAGTTGAGCCACGTTGGAGAGGGCAGAGATAACTCATCTCCAGGGGAGGTGTTTTCTGGAATGCCCAGAAAACCAGGTGGGCTGGCTGAATAACTCTGGATGTTCCCCCCACCCCCATCCCCGGCCTCTAGGGGGCTGCTTACACCTAGTGAGAGCCTCCCAGGGTCGAGGCATGCAGTGAAGCTTGATGATAATCATAACGGGTCTTTTGGAGCCAGCATTTCTAGTGTGGATTTGAGCAGGGGAGTGGGTAAGGGTGAGTTTTAGGGCCTGGGGAGACTCACCCCTGTGAAGGGACTGCCCACAGCTTTCACCTGCCAAGGAATGACCTTGGATGGGTGGGAAGTTTCTTACCCATACAAAGGAGGCAGGGCCTGGCCAGTGGGGGTTGCGGGGGGGGGGAGCGCAAGGAGGCATCCTGGGGTGGGGATGTACCAAGTGGCCACAGGAGCGGGAGTGGCCACAGGAGCGGGGGCTCCGGGCACCCGTCTCTGTGATGAGCTCCCCCTTGGAGTCGTGGGGTGCTTCCCTATAAAACAGAGGTATTACTATTTGTCCCTCCTTCCTGCCTCCACTTGTGGCTACTGAGGGTGACGTGAGCCACGGATTTGACGCTCAGAGCAGACCCACGCCAAGGAACTTGGGGACCCTTTTCCTTAGCAGAATGCACCTCTTTCCTCTACGTTCCACCTTTGATCACGGTGTGGCCCGGTCTGTCACTTTCTGGCTCGTCCCCAACCCGCTGCCCCCACACTGGAACGTGAGCTCGTTCAGGGCAGGGCTGTCCCCTGGCTGTGGCTGCCTCCCCTGTGCCTGGCATACAGCCGGTACACACTACACAGAGGTGGTCCTTAATGGTGCCCAGAGAAGTCTGCCAAGGGCAACGGACTTTGGCCTCTTATAGGGATCAGATCTAGGAGCGAGGGAGGCAGGACATCCGTGTGATCCTATAGACAGGAAAGATGGGGTTCAGAGATCCAGTGACTCGCCCAAGGCCACTGAGCTTTCAGGCTAGACCTGCCCAGGTCACGTCCAGCCTGACCTGCGGCAGGGTCTAATGCGGTGGGGGGAGGGGGTGTGTGCACAGGCCCCAAAAACCCGGAGCGCAAAAGATCAGGTAAGACAAAACCAGGTAAGACAAAATCAGGTAGGTGACATTGTTGAGACACCCTCCCGAACTCCCATCTTTTCTTCCTTGTGGTGACCCTTGGAGACCTGAAGGTGGCCCCAGCGCCCCACGTGAGCCCTCCTACCTCTTGGCCTCAAGATCTAGAACTCAGTTTTTCAAGCCCCTCGACGTCCTCCCTCTCAGTCACCCCCTTCTGGGAGGCAACCGATGACTTTTTGTAAGGCTCTGCCTAGAGGATGACATTCAGTGGTGGTGAGCAGTTCTTTTTAAGACACCTGCGTTGCTCCAGACTCAGGGCTTCGGCTCCTCAGCACCTCGTTCCCCCCACAACCATTCTGACGGCTGGGACGCATCATCGTTTTCCATTTCGAAGATGAGGAAACCGAAACACAAAGCGATGAAGTGACTTGCCTGACGTCCCACAGCCACAGCCAGGAAATGGCAGAGCTGGGATTTGAACCCAGGCACTTGTTGAGAAGCAGACGCTCAGTGGCAGGGGGCTACAGCCCTGCATTTCTCTGTAGGGGGCTGCCTCTTGCTGCACCCCCCCTCCCTGCAGCCAAGTTGGGCAGATGTCCTGGGCGCACCTGCTGGCCTCCTTGTGCTGGAGATGCCATGGAGGGGAGCACGCGAGGCAATGACAGCAGAGCAGGGAGACTGGGCTGGGTGGGGGCCTGGACAGTAGCCCTCAGCTGGAGGGCAGGCCTACAGCGCCCGACCTTGTTCAGAGACCCGTGGGGAGCTGGGCTGTGATGCCGGCTGCTACTCCGCAGCCCTGGCTCTGCCGGCCTCCTCACTCTGAGGCCACTGTGGGTGTTGCACATGGTGGAGCCCAGCCTTGAACTTCTCCCAGCTGGGCCGCCACAGCCACATGCTGTCTGGCAGAGTTTGAGGTGTGGAGACAGGCCGGGGCCGCGGCCGTTTGACTTTGGAATTAAATGCACCGAAGCAATGGACATAATGGCTTGGGACTCGACAACTCTGGCACTCATGCCATTTGTTTTAATTTTTGAGTAAGCGACTCCCATGGGTCAAGAAAAGGGTTTATTGTGAAAGGTCTTCCTCCAGCTGTGTGTCCAGCAGTGTGACTCCCCTTCCTGGGGGCAGCCGTGGTTTCTGTGTGTCCCCAGAGATGATCTAAACACACACAAACAGATATGCATAGAGAGCATATTAAAACATGTTTGCGTACTATCTGGAAAATGTTTTGCCCACTGCTCTTTTTCATTTAATAGTGTATTTTGGCAATCTATATTGGTATACAAAGAGCTTCCTTAGTCTTTAATCATGGTGGGTAATGTACCATTCTATGGATGTACTGCCATTTAAAAAAATGAGATATAACTTACATACAGCAAACCGCACAAATCTTAATCGGACAGTGCAAAGAGCGTTTGCATATGTCTACACCCACGTGATTGCAACCCAGAGTAACTTCCATTGTCCTGAAAGTCCCCTTGTGCCCCTTCTCAGTCAATGCCCCCACCAAGAAGTTCCCATTATTCTGACTTCTAACTTCTCAACTCACCTCAGTTTCCTTATCTTTAAAATGGGCACAAAGTTGGAACGGACTCACTTGCCTGGCACATAGTAATTTCCCAACAAAGGATGGATGTCAGGCTTATTTAAATCCCTAGTCGGTACTCTTTCTCTCATCTCTGTCGGGGCTCACCAGTGACCTTCAGATTCTCTCTCTCTCTCTCTCACACACACACACACACTCACTCACTCACTCACTCACTCACTCACACTCCGTCTAGCCACAGAGATAGACCAAGAGGGTCATTGTGCAAAGCCCAGGCTATGTGAATGGCTCCATTGTTCCAGGGCTGAGTTCCCAGAGCCAGCCGGTACGGCACTGACCAGGGATGGGCTGTCCCGTGGGAGGTGCCCCTGGGCCCCCGACCAAGGGCTGACCACACCTGGCAGGACACCCATTTCCCCGCCTTCCCCAAAGTGGGGAGGGAAAGAGCCTCCGTTTGACCTAGGGCTGGTCAGGGGATGCCTAGAGCATGCCTCGGTTCTCTACTTGGCCTCCTGGCTCTGGAATGCCAGGGCCTGGGGCACCTGCACGTGTACATTCTGAGCTGGCACCTTGGCTCCCGCTGGGGGTAGATGAGGCTGAGGGTAGATGAGGAATGGGGACAAGGTGAGAAAAGGGAAGCGGACCTTGAATGCTTACTTACCGTTTCTCCTTTCCTGGTGTGCGTGAATGTGGGCACCCTGAGGGTCTGAGGGCTGCACTGGCCCTCGGGGAACCACCCAGAAGCAGGCCTCCCCTGCCAGGTGGCTCACACCCCAAGAACTGGTCCAGGAGGCAGGACTCGTGGGTGCCTTTGAGCCGGACTTCCTAGTGCAGGACTTCCGTGTGCTGGCGTGACGGCGAGTCTGCACCTCCCTGCTGGGCTGTTCCCAGTTTCCTCAGGGGTGACAGTCTTGGCATCTATCTCCTGCCCTTATGCCCTTTAGTGCCCACCTGCAAGATCCAGTGCAGGGCCCACTCTCTCTCTCTCTGCTTATCACCATCGGCCAGCAGGGAATGTGCCAGAAGGCTTCCTACTTCCTCGGCGCCAGCCAGGGCTGGGGAAGGGGTTGCCGTGGGGGCTAACGTGAAAGGAGCGCCCACGAGGAAGAGGGAATGGGGGCTTCAGGAAGAGGGTGGATGAGGGATATGAGAATAGAAGGCAGAACAGGGAGGGGCTGGCCTGGAGGCAAGTGAGGGGGTGGCGGTGGGGGTGGGGGGACCCTGGAGGGTGGGGGCAAGGGTTTACCAGACAATTTCTTCCTGTCTCAGTTAAGAGGCCGAACTGGAGTCCCTGGGTATGTTCTAGGCAGCCCACGTCCCTAGAGTCTGGGCCAGGTTCCCGGTGGCCTCCCTAAGTCCCAGCACATCCCATCAGTTGCTCCCTGGGCCCAGACACCTGCCTCCACGGAGCTTGGGCCCCGACCTGTGCCTTGCCCGGCCTCAGCTGGGCCATGTGCCCTGTGTGAACTGTCCAGTCCAGGGGCCGAGGCTTCTGCAGGGAAGAGCAGGGGAGCGAGCCCAGCCCCGCCAGGATCCTGTCTTCTCTGCGCCAGCCTCCCTTGCCATGGAAACAGCCCAAGAGCGGCCTGGGGGTTACCCAGGATGGGAGTTTTAATTGCAGCCCGTGATCCTGTTCCACCCGCGGGGGCTACCCTCCCCGCCCCCCACCTTCCCAGCCCCAGGGCCCGTGAGATATTCCCCGAGCCCTATGTTTAGATCAGACACAGGGTCTGCAGCCCTCCTTAGGCCCTGTTTGCGTTTGGTCAGTCTGTCTGTCTGCTAGTAGCTCTGTGGCTGAGTGTCTTGGGTGGGGTACTGTTGGGTGGGGAGCCTGAGGAGGAAGTTTCCAGACGAACACGGGCCCCGTGGCCATGTCTCTGCTCCCCCAGCAGGCAGGCTCTGGGAAGCACCGGGGCAAGCGTGGGATCCCGAGAGCACCACCCGATTCTCCCCAACCTGGGCCACACTCAGCCAGGGTTGTGTGCGGCAGCGGCCAGCAGAGTGGCTTGGGGGACGTCCACGTCTATGCTGGACCTCTTCCTCAGAGGGCAGCCGAGGCAGGCTCCTCCCTCAGCAGGAAATGGACATCTGGCCTTCTCTGACCTCTCCTTCCTCCAGGAAACTTTGGGGGACTTGGATGAGACTGGCCTTGACCAGACCCGGGCTGGACGGCGTGAAGCCGGAGGAAGGACGATGGAGCCTGGGGGGACCGGCTGAGGACCAGCGACACAGAACACTCCTGCCTCCCGCCCACCAGGCCCAGAAGGGCCAGGGCCCTGGGTTGGCCAGGGTGGTCTGGGCGGCAGGTGTGCTGTGGCTTGGCCACTTCCCAGAAGCAAATCACCGCGTTTCCCCGTCGCCTCCCCTCCGGCCAAGATTTGTTGACATCCTCTGATTTACTTGGGGCATTTTGTTCTGTAACCGGAGAAGGAGAGGGACTGTCTGCTGGGAGTGTTTTCCAGAAGGGAAGGAGGCATGAAGGAACGGTGCCCTCCTCCCCGGCCCCTCGGTCTGCATTCAAGGCCAGAGGTTAGACAGTGCAGCCACCAGTGGGACAGCCTCTTGGTCGGGTAATCCTGGGGCCTAAGCAGATATGCTTCAGGGCCCTGGGGACCGACAGCCCCTGTGTGGGGGAAGACGCTGCTTCTCCCCACCCTCTGACAGCCATGGGTACATCACTCGGCCTGCATTAGCTTCCCCACGAGGCAGTGGGTGAAGGGGTTCCTTCAAGCAGTCTCATGGCCTCGGGCAGGCTCTAGAGCAAGAAGAGACACACAGGACAGATGGCCAGTGGTAACCGCAGCAGACAGGCTGGTCCGGGAGTGACACAACATCCTTTTGAGGGATTCACAGAAACCCTGGGGCGGGGGCAGTGGGGTGACTTTTCAAGGGGCTTCGGCCAAGGAAGCCAAAAAGGCAAGAACAGGAACTCTGAATATTTGCCAAAATGAGCTTGTCTTTTGAATCCAGGAGCTGGCTGGCAAGCCAAAGCCCAGCAACCTCCGGGCTCAGTGACCCATGGGGAGCTTATGAGGAAGAAGTGGATCCTATATATCTGAGGGACCAATCATCTGACCCGAGGTAAGGTCCTCAAATATTTGTGTTATTTCAACCACAAAGAAGTTCAGGTCCCATGATCTATCCAGAAGAGGAATTCATCCAGAACAGGGCAAAAGTAGAGGAGAAGAGGTCTTCTTCGGGCAAAGTAAGGGGACCCAACGGAAGGCTCAATTCACTTCACTGTGTGGCCTTGGGTGAGTCACTCACATTTTCTGAGTCTCAGTTTGCTCATCTACGAAGTGGGGGAGTTGGTGAGCTTGCCTCTTAGGGTTCCCCCACCTCTCTCTTGAATGGGCTTCCTCCGCAGGAGGCCTTCCACATCATCTGTAGGGAAACTGAGGCTGCAGAGGGAAACCGAGGCTGGGCCCGTCTACCTCTGCCCACATATCCTGGTCAGAACTTTCTCTACAGGTGCCATGGGCTCCGAGGCCTGCAGTCCGGGGAAGAGCCAGGAGCCATCTTCTCTGAGCTGGCTGCCTTGTCAGCATCACCGGTGAGACAGGGGAAATTGAGGACCCCAGCGGCACATCCTAAATCCAAGCCCGAGCCATCAATCTCCCAGAATAGACTGAAATCACAAGGTGGGTGGCCCAGCCTGCCACTGGATGGACAGGCAAAAGATATTAAAAAACGGAATTCTTGAGCCCCCAATTCCCTTAACCAATTTTCAAATACCCCAGAGGCCTGCACGCCGAGGAGAGAAAAGGGCATGTTTCATATCAGAGTCCTCCAGGAGGGTCTGGGGGCCCTATTTCAGGAAATTCCTCTCTGTCTGGGCCGCTTGGCCCCTTCCTTTTCCCTGAGCGCACCCCCACCAGCCAGACTCACGGCTCAGCAGAGCCGTTAGTGTACTCAGCTAGAGCGCTCGCTCCAGGGCTGGCCGCATTGCTCGCTAGCGCTGCAGACCTGGGCGAGCTGCCTAAACTCTTGGGGCCTCAGTTTCCTCATTGGTAAAACGGGAATGGGAACACCCCCTTCATCTCATCCATGTTTTGTGGATGAGACAAAACAATCCATGGAAAACAAATAGCAGAGTGCCTGGAGCTAAGACCTCCAACTTTAGCCATTCATATTAACCTTCCTGTCGTGTCACACATTAGCTCAATGTGGCTGCTGCTGCTTCTCACAGGCTCTCCCGGTCTTTTGGCTTCTTACACCCTATCCATCCCTCCAGCCTCAGTCTGACTGCCACCTCCTCCAGGAAGCCCTCCCTGAACAACTCTCCAAGGCTTCATCCTCCTCTGACTTTCATGGCTACGTATTTTGTACTTCATCTCATTTGCGGCAATGGCTCTTTCCCACTTCACCGTGTAGGACCCAAATTCCCTGAGCAAAGGCCTCTACTTCTGTTTTCTCCCTCTTCTTTTCCCCTTACTGCACTCGCCACACTATAGGGCACATAGTAGGTGCTCATGAAACAGTCATGCTTGTTATCAACCGGGAGCTTTCAGGGAATTGGAAACAGAATCCTGGTGTTCCCAACACCAAGACCTGTGTCTATTTTTAGAGTTTAAATATTCTTCAAAAAAAGAAATCCAAATTCCACTCCATCTTTACATTACAACCACACCAATCTTTTCATGTCAGCCAGATGTACGTTTCCCTCCTTTCTACCCGAAATACACCAGAATTTGAAAAATGAGGCGCTGGATCTGAGAGTGTGAGATAGAGAAGGTGTTCTCTAAACCCTGACTATTCTTGTCAGGCCGAAGTCTTGGGGAAGGATTAACTCTGGGTGAAAGGGAACGTTCTGATGGCTCAGCGCAGGACTGTTAGAGGTTGGTTTTCTACAGAGGGACAAATGGGATTCTGAAACACGAAGCCCTTGCTTCTAGAAGGTCAGCACTCTTGTTAGGCATCCAAGAGCACTGCCACTCCGTGGGGGGCAGGCTGGGAAACAGATCTGGTCACCTTGAAATCAGGACGGAGGGGTGGCGCTGTCCTGGCTGCCTTGGGAGGAGGGCAGGCAGGGCAGAGGCAGGGAGGGAAAGCCCACTAGAGGCGATCCTGGACCCCTCTGGGTCACACCTTGCCTTGATGGGGATCCGCTGCCAGGTTCGAGGTGGGGCAGGGGAGTTCACAATGAAGGATTTGCAGTTGTGACCAAGGTAAATGGCCGTTTGGTCTGACGGGGCCTTGGGGGCAGAGGCCTTCCTACCATCTGGTTCTAGGTGGAGAGAGTTTCTTGACGGTGTGAGTCCTGATATGCCAGAGGAGCACAGGACCCACATTATCGCCATGGCTACCCTGAACACCAACCAGCCAATAACAGTAACAACAGGGTGCAATTATTAAGCACTTACCGTGTGCCAGACACTGTGCTGAGTGCATTTACATGCAATTTGCCATCTGGTGTTCCACAGCAGCTCCGGAAAGTGGGGACTGGTATCTCCATGAAGACAGGCACAAAGCCTTTCTCAGGGCGCCTGAAGTTTGCAAGTCCCCCATGGCTCTCTGGCTGGTCGGAGAGTGATGGAGAGGCTACAGCCGCAGACCAGAGACTCAGATATGGTTGCAAGGGAGGCCACTGTTTTTCCTGGCTGGAAAGATGACTGTTTGGTCAGAGTTGAAGAGACGCAGGAGTTCGGGCACCGCAACCACCCAACCCTCTGCGGATAAGGAAGCAGGCCTCCCAGGTGACCGGGCCCTGGCACCGTCAGGCCGGGTGGCAGCCGGGCAGGGAATGTCTGCCGTCCTCTTCCGCCCTGGGTCCGCTGATCACGTGGTGCTCTGACTGCTTACCCTGCTTCTCCATTCCACTCCGAGAGGCCAGGGGTCCGTTTGTCTTGTCACCAGTGAGTCCCTGGTGCCCACATAGGCCTGGCTTGCGGGAGATGCTCAGTCAATATCTGCGCGGAGAACAAGGACCGAGGGGCTTGGCCTCCGGCCCTGGCCCTGAGGGCAGATCTCCCCTCCGGCTGGGCGGCAGTGGCGGCACGTTTCCACCTAGGGGTGCCAGTGGGAAGTGGGTGGGACTGCGTCCCCAGCAAATCCACCTAGGGGCGCCCCCCGCCCAAGAGGCTTAACTGGAGCAGGGCAAATTATTCATTTCCACATCTGAGAAGCAAAGATGGGGGGGTTGATGGGCTAAGGGTGTTGGGGGTATTGGCGCCTAAAGGTGGTTGGCTTCCGTTCTGGGGTCTGGAGTCCCTCCTTTGCGCTGGCTGGGGAAGGGGTAGAGGACATGTGGGCTCGGGGCCAGGCGGCTCCAGCGGACTTAATGGGGGGGGGCACTCGGTGAGCACCCTCAGTGGGAGGGCTGGAAGGGTATAGGAAGAGGTGCCAGTGGGCAGCCTGCGCCCTCGCCCGCCCGCCGACCCTCTCAACCTCGGGGCGTGGGTGTGGCTCCCTCCGGGGAAGTGGGTGGGGGTTGGCACCGGAGCCGGCCGGCGGAGGGGGCGTCCGGGGCGCTGGAGGCTGGGGCAGCGCGGGGCGGCGCGGGGAGCGCGAGGGCGCGCGCTGGAGGGGTGGGGAGGAGAAGGGGGCGGGCGGCCGCCGAGGGGCGGGCGGCTTCGGGGGGGTGGAGCCCGGACCGCAGCGCCCGCCGCTCGCTCGGCGCTATAGCCGCCGCCGCCGCCGCCGCCGCCGCCGCCGCCGCTCCCGGCTCGGGTCGAGAGGCGGGCGGGCGGGCGCTCCGCGAGGCTCCGGCGCCTGCGGCTGCTGCTCTCCTCCGGCGCCCCGGGCTGCGGCGCGCTGGGTCCCGGTCCCTGGCCCCGCGCGCCTCGGGCCCTCGCGACCCCGTCCCGGGTCCCGCGCCCTGCCCGGGAGAACGCTCTGCGCTGGCCAGGCCGCCCCGGGCTCGTGCCCCCAGGCCATGAAGAGGGGCCCGTGAGGGGCGCGCGGAGGCGGTGGCAGAGGAGGGAGGAGGGAGGCCGAGGAGGAGGGCGCGGAAGGCGGAGGATGCCGCCGCCGATGCCGCCGCCGCCGCCCGCCGGCCCCCGGCGAGCCTGACTCCAGACCCGAGGATGGAGCCGGCGCTGGGCGCTGCAGCGGCTCCCGGTGCGCCCCCCACCAGGTATTAGCCGGGCCCCGGCGGGCCCCGGGCGGGCGGGAGCGGACCCTCGCCGCAGCAGCGGGAGGGGCGCGGGCGCGGTGGGAGACGCCCCTCCGCCCGAGGACAGTCGCTACCGGCTGTGCGGGCCGGAGGGGGAGGAGGACGGCAGCGCGTTGGGCGCTGGAGGGACTCCCCGGGCCGGTGGCGGGTGACCGCCGCGACCACCCCAGCCCTCCCCGCCCCCGTTCGGGGAGGGCAGCAAACTTGAGACGCGCGGCGGCCCGGAGGCGCCCAGCTTCCCGCGGCTGCGGAGCGCACTCGGGGGCTGCCCCGGCTTTACCGTCCCACAACCTGCCCGGCTCCGGGCTGCCGAGACGCCGCGAGACCCCGAGGTCCCACGCCTCCACCAACTTTCCAAACCAGAGCTGCATCCAGAGGCAGGGGGCTGCCCGCCGCTTCCTGCCGCCCCCCCCCCCCCCCCCCCCCCCCCCCCCCCCCCCCCCCCCCCCCCCCCCCGCAGGGCACCCATAGGGCCTGGGCAGCCAGATGGCGCAGAGCCCCCCATGGGAAGGCAGAACCGCCCTCTTGCTCTTCTCTGGGTAGGATCCCCGGNGCTGCCGAGACGCCGCGAGACCCCGAGGTCCCACGCCTCCACCAACTTTCCAAACCAGAGCTGCATCCAGAGGCAGGGGGCTGCCCGCCGCTTCCCCCCCCCCCCCCCCCCCCAGCTCTGCTCCTAGCCCGCACCAATCACTCTGTGATGAGCAGGGCACCCATAGGGCCTGGGCAGCCAGATGGCGCAGAGCCCCCCATGGGAAGGCAGAACCGCCCTCTTGCTCTTCTCTGGGTAGGATCCCCGGAGCAGCCCCTCCCAGGCTCTAGGAACCCAATGCTTGCTTTGACAGTAACAGCCCAGGGTGGCCCTTGCTGGGAAACTAGGGGTTAAAAGGTAAGACCTGAGGATCGTCCTAGGGTGGCACCTTGGCCTGATTTGCCATGCCCCAGGGTGCCCCTCCCCCCATCCCAGGCCTGCCGTTTCGCAGGATTAGGTACCTCACCTCTGGTGCAGGTTTCCTTCCGATGGACTTAAACACCGCTCCTAAGCAGGAGGCTCCGAAGGACAGACTTGAGCCTGGCATCTTTTGGGTGGCTGGTAAGGCAGAGAGCAGAGAGGACCTAGGATTAGGGGCAGGGGAGCAGGCACTCTGGCTGGGACAGTAGCTGCTTTGGCAAGCCAAAGGGAAGTGTAGACAAGCAGGTGGGGACCAAGGTACCAGGTAGCTGCCTTCAGGGCTTTCCCAACCCCTTACAATTGGGCCAGCTGCCTTAGGCAGAGACCTTACCTGGGCAGGCCGTTCCCAGGCTCCAGTCCTCAGCAACCGGGGACACTCAAAGGCATCACCATGACCCTGTTTCTTTTTCCAAGTGTTCTCACCGTCATGACTCACACATTGGATTCACCAGGGAGGTATCAAGCCTCCAACCTGTTCTCTTCCCTCCCTCCTGGGTCTTCAGGGAGCTGCTGGGGAAATGAGGGGGCGGATGTGCCTTCTGGGCCTCAGCCCCCTGTGGGAGGCCAGGAGCCTGGCACTGTAAACTTTCATTTCCCCAGAAACTGTCCCCATTAGGCCAGGTGGGCTGCCCTAGGCCAGGCCAGAGTGGGGGCTATTGAGAGGAAATCTCTGCTAATGATCCCCCCAATCCTGCTGGGGCTTTGGAATAATAGTCATGCACCCCACTCCCCTCCTGGCACATATACTTAACACGGCCTCCTCATCTTAAAGCAGAAACACAGTTCCCCCCTAAAATCCAAATTTCCCTCTTTGCTAAACATTGCAATGCTTTTGGCCAGAGGTTTCCTCCTCGGCATGGGAAGTCAAGCTCCTCTTGCAGACCGCTTCCCTCCTTCCTGGCCTCTCAGCTACCTCTGCCATGTTCAGGGCCCAAGCAGGAATGATGCAGATGCCCCGTACCCCTCTGCCCCCCACCCACAGGGTCCTAGTTCCAGAGAAAGGGTGGTGCTCCTGGTGCTGAGATTGGGGTTGTGTGTGCGCTGGCTGCAGACGCACAGAAGTGTACATCTGTGCTCCACCGAGTCTGCGGAGGGCCCAGAAGCCAGGCTCTCATGGTGGGGGGAGCAAGCTGTACCCCCCTGAGTTCCCCTTGCCCACGCCTCTGCCTCCTTCCCTTACCCACTGTGGCTCTCTCTTTACTTTTCTAACTCACTCTGCACTGGTGCGGGGAGGGAGCATTTGATATTCATAATCTGGTTCAGAGAAGGTCCCGAAGCCCTGAGTCACTGTATGGTTTCCATGGAAACAGACTTGTTCTGAGGACTCGGTGTAGCGCGGCGGTGGTGGGGGAGAAGGGAAACATATAGTAAAATCGGGCTCCACAAGTGTGGCAGGAGTTGGGCCAACTCTCTTTGTTGGGGTAGGGGAGAGGCTGGGCGAGGCTCTAGGGTCCTCACAGGAGGGGCAGCCTCTCCCCACCCACTGTGGTCCTCCCATCAGGAGCTGCTCAGCTTTACTGGAGGCTCTTGGCAGACTGCTGCTCCTCCCATGGGCCTCCTGACTCAGTGCCGATGCGCATCGCTATGCCTCTGTTTCATCCTCTGTGAAATGGGGAGAAAAGGGCACCTGCTTCGTAGGGTTGCTGTGAAGGTCATTAATAATGGGGAATGCGCTCATAATGGAACCGTAGTAAATGTTCAGTAAGTGTCATGATTAATTCTGGGGGTTGGGGGCAGCACCCCCTGTGCGGTCACCTGGCTCTCTCCCCTCTGCAGGTGGTCTTGACATCTGGTAGTGCTGGCCTCTTGCTTTGGAAGAGCCTCCCCCCGCAGCTGGGAACCAGCCATCCATTGCTTCCTCCCACAAAGCATTTATTTAGATTGCTGAGGGCCCGTCACCGTGCTAGAGAGCCCTGGCTCCCATTCAAACCCCACCTGTCTAGGAGCTTGTGGGAACAAATCCTCCAAGTCCAGATGGAAGGGCAGCTTTCTGCCTCAGCCTCCTTGGGACTGGGCCAGAGGGAGAGGGACAGGACAGCTCCACGCTCTGAGGACCAGAAGAGCTTGGGGTGGGGCAGTTTTTCCAGATCCTGGAGAGGCCTCTCCCTCCTGATGAAAGAGGGATTGGGAACTCTCCAGAAAGATAACGGACTCTGGCCTCCTCCTGCCCCCAGGTTAGATCTTCTATTGGTGAAGTGTTCCCAGCACATCCTACAAGTCTGGACAGCTCAGGGCTGAAGCCTGAGCCACCGGTCAGCTGGGAGAGGAGCCTGTCCTTATCTTGCAGCATCTCAGGGACATTTGGGGCACCAGTGATGGCTCAGTCAGAGTCTGCCTCACCAGCCCTTCTCTCTGTTGCTACCATCCTCTCCCTGGCCTGTAGGCAGCCCCTCCTCCCCTCCTGTAAGGTGGGCTTCAGCTCCAAGCTCCCTAAAGGCACTCCCTGCCTTACTTCTCACTGCTGCTAGCTCCACACCAGCTCTGGAATGCCCTCCCCTCTTCCCTGGCTCTCCAGGTAGCACCAGGTGCTGCCCAGCCCGCAGGTCCAACCCCCCCCCCCCCCCCCCCCCCCCCCCCCCCCCCCCCCCCGCCAAAACCGCAGTTTCCTGCCGAGGTTCTTCCACCCAGGTCTCTCTGGACCACTTTGCTGTCCTCATTGGTGTTCACAACACCTTCCGATTTAATATCCTCTGCAAATTTCATTAACAGACTGTTTACTCCCTCTCTCAGGATCATTAATGGAGATGTCAGATAAGATCTGACCCAGTGGTGGGTCTGGGCAGCCCTGCCCCCACTCCCAAACCCGATCCCTCCGCCCCCTCCCCCAGGGGTCCCCTCCTCCACCCAGGACCCTTGGGACCTGCCCCCTCCTGCTTTCGGCCCCATGACAAGTGCTTAGGGCCAAGTCCGTTTGAATTAATTTTGTAAGATTACTCGAGGCGCTGTATCAAATGCTTTGCTAAAAATCAAGATATATTACCCTGCCTGCATTTCCTTCATCTACCAGTCTTGTAATTCTATCAAGAAAGCTATCAAGTTTGTCAGGCATGATTTGTTCTTTATAAATCCCCATGGTGCCACGTGGGGCACAGAGTTCCCGCGTTTTCTAAATGTTTAGAGATTCCCTCTTTGTGTTCGCTCCTTGATTAGAGCTGGAAGGCTGTGAGCTGGGGTTCGTACAGGGAGCTCATCTCCTCCTCTGGGATGGGGAGCGGGGCACTGCTCTCTCCTTCCCTGGGTCTCTGCGGGAGCCAGTGGCTTGTTCGGTGCCCATCAAGTCCTTGCAATGTGCTGCGGGCCCCAGGCTGGGCACCTAGGGTGGAGAGGGACCGAGGGCCTGGGGCTCTCCCTCGGGGGTTTTGGAGGCAAGATGAGGCAGAAAGACAAGTCTGATGCTGACATTTCATAGGTATCGTTAATTGAGTGATTGCCTTGAACCAGGCACAATGCTAACATCTCATTTAAGCCCCTCACCTGTCCCGGGAGGTGGGTGTGGGCCCCCCCTCCCCGGGTACCTGCGGCTCAGGGAGGGTAAGCCTGTCCAGGAACCAAAGCCTGGGTTTCACCTTCTGCTGTGTTGCTTCCTACCACTCAAGGTATAAGTATAGGGTCAGCACGGCTAAGTGGGGTGGTTCAGACAGAGCTTTAGGAGGTCAGAGCAAGGAGGAGGGGAAGCCTTCAGGCAGAACCTGGGAGAGGTGAGGACCACACACACAGTGCCCCATAGCCTGAATCTAGTTCCCCATCCTGCCGCTTCTGAGCTGTAGGAGCAAGTCACTTAACTTCTGTGAGCCTCCGTCACCTGTGACACGGCCGTAGTCCTTAGTCCCAAGCTTGGGGAGAGGGTCAAACAAAGTGGTGCATGAAAGTTCATAACATGGCGCTAGACCCTTAGCGAGCAGCCATTGTGTCTTATCAAGGTCCCTGTCGATGTGGGGGTGAGACACTCATCCGACTTCATGTTCCCAGCGGGTGGCTCTCCCTATCACTTTCTCATCCAGGAGACAGACGGGTGGCGGGTCGAGACACACCGGCATCCTGGCATGGGGTGGGGGGCATCCGTGCAACCAGCTGTGGGCTGGCAGTAAGTTCCGGGATTCGGGAGCAGGGAGACCTTACCCTGGTCTTGAGCCCACACCCTAAGCCCCATTCCAGACCATCTCAGGCCAGGAAGTAATAAAGACATTCTTCGGTGTCCTCCTGGCTGCAAAGGATTTGGACATTCCTGAGCTTTCTGGCCCAGCAAACACACACTTCCCTCTCCTTGCCTAGCCGGAGCGTTTTGGCTGCGTCTCGGGTGCCAAACTGCACCAGGCATGTGCACACCCATTGCGTCTCTTCTAGTCTTCTTGATAATCGTCCTTTTGGTTATTTGTCTGGGGAGGGCGAACCCCCCCACCCCCCCACCCCCCTACCCCTGGGTAGTGGCGAGATGGCATAGAGCTGTTCGGTGTGTGCAGGAATGAGGCAGGCAGGGCCATAGGCAGCCGCATCCCTCAGCTGACGCCCCAGGCACCTGCTCCTTAGAGACGGTCAGCAGGTGTCTGATGAGCCCATGTCTGGGTCAGGGTGGATGCCTGGGTCCCTGGGGGCCACCGGGGCCCCAGCATTGCCCGCCCCTGCCCTCTAATCTCCAGGTGCTGGGTGATGCTCTTACTCTCCGGCGAGGCCTGGAGCCTTACGTTTTGTGGGAAGAGCTGAGCTCGGACCTTGACCCCAGCACAGACTCCTAGATAAACTCCCTCGCTTGCCTGCGCCTCACTGCTCCTCACCCGTGACTGAGGGGACCTGCAGGGCGTGCCCGCTTCATGTGAGCCGGGGCTGGGGCCACCTCTGGGGATCTGCTCCTGCGGCCCCTCCATCCTGTGTCAGGGGCTCAGGTGAGCCTGTCCCATGTCCCCCCCTCATCCCCAGGGGCCGGCTGGGGTCCAGGCTGGGGTCCAGGCTGGAGACTCCCCGATCTGCCAGCCCCTCTTGCAGCAGCTGCTGGTGCGGGAGGTTTCCCATCCCTGAAGCTGGGAGGATGGGCTGAAGCCCGGTATCCAGGGGGTGGGGCTGTGGCTGTTGCGGGGGGCGGGGGGGGGGGGGGGGGCGGACAGGAAACCGGGGCCTTTCCGCCCAATGTCGGGGCAGAAGGGTCCGCCTACCACAGGCCAGGCTGTGGTAGGACCGGCCTGAGGGAACCGGGCCCTTCTGACTCATCCTCCCCCCGTGAGGCGCTGGGCACACTGGAGCCTTGTGCCGGGAGGCCAGTCCCTCTCCCCACTGCTGGAGAAAACTTTCCTCAGGTCGGGCCAGGACCCCGCCAGCCCGCTGGGCCCGCAGAAGGCCCGGGAGGCAGTCCCTGCAGCCCCGACAGCAAGTGTCTTCAGCCACACAGGCCGCGGGCGCTTCAGCGGGGAAGGCTGTGGTATCTGTTCTTAC